GGTAGAGTGCTGTGGCATCACAGCTCACAGCAACCTCCAACTCCTGGGCTCAAGCAAGTCTCCTCCCTCTGCCTCCCAAGTAGCTGGGACCACGGGCACCTGGCTATTTTTTTTTTGGTTGCAGCCATCATTGTTGTTTGGTGGGCCCGGGCTGGATTTGAATCCGCCACCTTAGGTGTATGTGGCTGGCACCTTAGCCACTTGAGCCACAGGTGCTGAGCCTAAAAATTTTTTAAATAATAAAGGAGGCTGTGTGCCTGTAGCTAAGTGGTTAAGGTGCTAGCCACATACACTGGGGCTGGTGGGTTCAAGCCCACCAATTCTAGCTTCTGTTATCCAAGCCCAGAGGGAAAAAAGGGCTTCTGTTTCCTGACACCTCTGCCCCATCCAGGGACAAACTCTTGACAGCCTTGGTCATCCTGGGTCAGCCCTTACAACTACAAGTGGACATATTGATTGGTAGCCTCACCAGAACCACTTGGCTTGAGGAGGTGGGAGGAATGGGTCCGTTCTCCAGAAGCCAGGTTGCTACCAGATAAAAACAGAATAGGTGCGCACAGTGGCTTACATCTGTAATTCTAGCACTATGGGAGGCCAAGGCGGAAGGATTGCCTGAGCTTAGGATTCAAAACCAGTCTCAGCAAGAATGAGACCTTGTCTCTAAAAATAGCCAGGGGTTGTGGTGGCGCCTGTAGTCCCAGCTACTTGGGAGGCTGAAGCAAGAGAATCACTTGAGCCCAAGAGTTTGAGGTTGATGTGAGCTATGATGCCATGGCACTCTACCAAGGGCGACTGAGACTCTGTCTCAAAAAAAAAAAAAAAAAGGGCTGGGCACAGTGGCTCACGCCTATAATTTTAGCACTCTGGGAGGCGAGGCCAGTGGATTGCCTGAGTTTATTGGTTAGAGACCAGCCCAAGCCAGAGGGAGTCCTTGTCTCTGAAAATAGTTAGACGTTGTGGCAGGTGCCTGTACTCCCAGCTACATGGGAGGCTGAGGCAAGAGAATTGCTTAAGCCCAGAGAGTTTGAGGTTGCTGTGAGCTGTGATGCCACAGTACTCTACCAAGGGCAACAAAGTGAGACTGTGTCAAAAAAAACAAAACAAAACAAACAAAAAAAAAACGGCTGAGACAGGAGGATCATTTTAACCCAAGTGTTGAGGCTTCAGTGAGCTATCTATGATTGTGCTACTGCACTCCAGCTTAAACAACAGAACAAGATACCCCTATTTATTTATTTATTTATTTATTTATTGAGACAGAACCTCAAGCTATCCCCCTGGGTAGAGTGCTGTGGCATCACAGCTCACAGCAACCTCCAACTCCTGGGCTCAAGCCAGTCTCCTGCCTCAGCCTCCCAAGTAGCTGGGACTACATGTGCCCGCCACAACACCTGGCTATTTTTTGGTTGCAGCTGTCATTGTTTTGGCAGGCCTGGGCTGGATTCGAACCCGCCACCTTGGGTGTATGTGGCTGGCGCCTTAGCCACTTGAGCCACAGGTGCCAAGCCAAGATACTCCCTTTTAAAACACACACAAAAGCCCCAGATGTCTGCAGTAGACTTTATTCCTAAGACATATTTCTGTAGGCAGAGAGTTCTTATGTAATTCACTGTAATCTGTATAAGGATGTTAGTCACTTCCTATAGAAGTGATGGCTCATCATGTCAACTGCATGCTTTGCAGGTGGAAGAGGAAATTGTCACCCTGCGCCAGGTCCTGGCAGCGAAGGAGAGGCACTGTGGTGAGCTCAGAAGGAGGCTGGGCCTCTCCACATTGGGGGGTCTGAAGCAGAATCTGTCCAGGAGCTGGCATGATGTGCAGGTCTCCAACGCGTAGGTACCTTCCCCATAGTGGGGCTGCTCTGTCAGCTGGAAAGTGTGCAACAAGGTGTGCCTCTGCCTTGGTGTTTGGGGACATGGTGCCTTACAGCAGGAGGGTCAAGTGAGCCTGTCTGGAAGCAGCCAGTGAGAGACCCCCAAGTCATCAACCGAGGAACTGTAATGTTGTTTATTCAAAGAGCTAGGAGTTGATATGTATGTTTTCGTTTTTTTTTTTGAGACAGAGTCTCACTCAGTCACCTTGGGGTTGAGTGCCATGGCATCATAGCTCACAGCAACCTCAAACTTGGGCTCAAGTGATCCTCTGGCTTCAGCCTCCCCGTAGCTGGGACTATAGGTCTCTGCCACAACACCCAGCTATTTTTAGAGATGGGGTCTTGCTCTTATTCAGGCTGGTCTTGAACTCATGAGCTCAGGCAGTCCACCCACCTTCGTCTCCCTGAGTGCTGGGAGTACAGGCGTGAGCCACCACATCTGGCCCCTTGATGTGTGTTTTAAAAAGGTAGGTGCTTGTTGTCCTAGCAGAGATTAATAGGAAGAATGTGTTTCAGGGTCTGAATTTGAGAGAGCACTAATTAGGGTTTTAATGAGAAGGGCTTTTTTGTGGTCCCCATAACTGTCTGCCAAAGCGGACATGAGTCCCTCTTAATGCATGTGGCATGGTCATAGTCACCAATGGAGACTGGTCTGTGTAGCCCTATAACCCCGAGACCTCTGACCGAGATGTCACTCAGCTCTCTGAATTTGGGGTGTGCTGCTTTCAGACTTGGCCATGTCTGCGTGGCTTGTCTGAAACATGCCTTTCAAGGTGGAGGTTGGAATGTTTCCCAGAAGCCATGTCACCCGCCCCCAGAGAGTGAATTGCATTCTTGTATCTCACCTATGAAAAGCCTATGTTTTTGATGGAAGTATTTCAGATTGCATGTGAAAACCCCACACTGTACCCTAGAAGTGCATTAATGTACATAGTTACCGTTCAATTAAAAAAAAAAAGAAAAAAAAAAAAAAGAAAAGCCTATGTTTTGTCTTAGGACACTGTCAGCTTTGAATCCCCAGGGAGACTGAGAAGTATTTTGGAGCTATGGCTGTGTCCTCCTAGCTCCGCATAGCAGTGGTGCTCCCCAAGAGCCTCCTTCAAGTGGAAGACCAGGGCCCCTTCCATGTGACAAGAAAAGAAATGGTTAGTGCTGACCCACTGACGTCTGGGCTTTCTGAGCCTGCACACTGTGGTGAGATAGTGGGCTCTTTTCTCAGGCAGGCCAGAGAGAGAGAGTCTGGCCAACTGGCCCTTCCCTGTCTTTCCTGGACTCTGACCTATAGTCTGAAGCCTAGGTTGAAATCACTCTTCTGAATAATTCACCATAGGCTTTCTGTTTTTAGCTATGTGAAAACTTCTGAGAAACTTGGAGAGTGGAATGAGAAAGTGACCCAGTCGGACCTGTGAGTGCCCATACCGTCAGTGCCTCCTTCCCCCTCTTCTCTGCCTCCTGATTCTCCTGGGGGCAGGGGCTGTGCACGCTTGGCACAATAATTCTTTTAGTGTTTGCTTGCTATTTTTACTTAATGTAACTTTTCTAAAGTATACGTGAAACTGTTCTTTAAACTCTTGTGGATGAGAGGATAGTGGCTGAGAGCCCCAAACTATGCTTAGAAGTCCCACCTGTGATGTGTTTCCCTCAGATGAGAGACCTGGTGACCCAGGCTGGCTCTCTGACTAGAAGGTGGCTTTCAACAATGAGCAAGGTGGAGAACAGTGCCTGTAGGACTTTGTTGGTGATGGGTTTTTATTTGGCTGGTTGGTTTGCTTTCCTTCCTTCCCTTGCATATTTAGCTCCAGCTATTGGGTTCTCAGAGCTTCACTCATACTTTAGGGTAGTTTTGGGGAGTAGCGAGTGGTATAGGTTGTGCTGGTGGGAACGTGAAGTCCTCACAGGCCGGTGACACTGCGGCAGTAGTCACAGGAGCGTCAGCAGAGTGGACGAACACATGGGTGGCCTCAAGTGTCTGTCAGGGTGCCACTCAGTGACTCCTTGTGATTTGAGTCTATAACATAGATAACGGCATTTCCCTTATCTGTTCCCTTGTTGGAGCACAGGTTCTTGGAACTGAACAGGGGAATGTTTAAAAATAGTCTCTATATGGGGGCCGCACCTGTGGCACAGTAAGTAGGGCGCTGGACCCATACACCGAGGGTGGCCGATTCAAACCCAGCCCTGGCCAAACCTCAACAACAAATAGTCTCTATGGGATTTTTCCACTTTATTTAGGAGGGAGTGCTGTCATGGTTGCCACAGAACATGGGTGGAAATGTTCTACTGGGTGCTGGGCACCAGTTGGCTCTCTGCACGTGGTTGAGGCAGTGATTATTGTCTGTCTGGATATGAGGCATATGGTTCAGACTCAGCCTGAAAACAGTCATAGACACTGGAGCACTGTTCTCTAAAACCATGGACATCAGGGTAGGATACTTTTTTTTTTTTTTTGGGACAGAGTCTCACTTTATTTCCCTTGGTCGAGTGCTGTGGCATCACAGCTCACAGCAATCTCTGGGTCTTGAGCTTAGGCGATTCTCTTGCCTCAGCCTTCTGAGTAGCTGGGACTACAGACTCCAGGCTACTTTTTGTTGCAGTTTGGCTGGGGCTGGGTTCGAACCTGCCACCCTTGGTATGTGGGGCTGGTGCCCTATCCACTAAGCCACAGCCGCTGCCCAGCTGGGATACTATTTCAAATGTTTTTTTCAAAGAGCTATGGACACTTAGACCTTCCAGCCCTTGAAGAATCCTGTGGGTGTGTGTGTGCCTGGCACTCTGCCTGGCAGAGGCTGTGCCTAAGGCAGCGCCCAGATTCTGTCAGTGGCAGAGTTGTCACACTGGGATTTCCAGAGCTGGATGAATTTTTGCAGTGATAGCCCAGGAAGAGGGCAGCACAGCTTAGGGGACAGGGTTCCTGAAAGTGTCATGCTTTCGGCCTGGTTGTGCCTCTTCTAGTCAGGCTCCACCGCCCAAGCTTTTGCAGGGAAAGGTGATGAGAGCCAGCTTGCCGAGCTCCTGACCCACCTGTTTTCAGGGGAAGGTGATGAGAGCCATCTTGCCAACCTTCTGACTCACATGTTTACAGGGAAAGGTGATGAGAGCTGGGTTGCTGCCGCTCCTTACCCACATGTTTACAGGCTTCTTTCAACCAGTGGCCCTAGAGGACTGGAATGAGCATGTAGGCTGGCAGGTAGTTTGAGTGTCTGCACCTTTGGTACGGCCCTGGTGAAGCTGTGCTGCCCTGAAACAGTTGTGGTACTGCTGAGGCTCTCTCAGCTGACTGCCTCTTTACCTGAGAGCAGAAATCCAAAAATGAGTCATGAGACATCACCTCGCCATAGTCTTTTTATAGGAAGATCTATCCAAGAACTTGGAGTTGAGAGTGGGCACCTGAGTAACTCTGCAATGACAGGAAGTGCAGCTGAAGGTGGTGTCCGTCAGCACAGAGGTGGGCGTCTTCCTTGGCAGAGAAGTCCCTGCTCCCAGCTTTGTAGTCCAACAACACTGTGGCCCAGGGTGGCATTGCTGGATTGTGGCTGTGGCCAGGGAGCTGGTATGCCCTAGCTGGCCAGGCCTGGATCACTTGCCTACCTCAAGTGAAGGTAGAGGCATCCCCCAAAGGCAGAATCAGAAGGGGAGGAAGAAGGAAACCCACCAGATGCTCCATGCTGGATGATGGGCATCCTTACTGACTGTGAAAGGAAACTGCTGTCTGTCCAGGGCTCTTTTCCTGAAAGATCCATTAACTCCATAGAGTGCTGGCTGGGTGGCACAGCCTGGCACTCTCATGTGCAGCCGGGCCCAGTTGTCTGGGGTGGGCTCTGGCTCTGACTCAGCCGAACACAGTGTGCAAGTCTGTGTGCGGCTCTCAGTATGGGCTTGCAGCACTGTGACCCTGGCTGGGGCTGTAGCAGGCAAAAGGGCCAGCAAGTTGCCAGTGGTGACCTTGGGTCACGCAGCAAGCCACGCAGCGATGCTCACTGAGTCCAGAGCACCCTTCGTTTGGAGACTGCTATTTCTGTGGCCCCTTATTCCATAGCCAGAAGTGTTAGGAGCTGCAATGCGGTCACAAGGCTGGCTACTGGTGTCAGTGTCTTCTGCCCTGCCTGAGTCATCTTCTGGACCTTCTTAAGGCAGCACCAGACACGGGCTTGTGACCCTGCTGACTTTATTGTATTTTATTTTTTGAGACAAGAGTCTCACTATGTCGCCCTTAGTAGAGTGCTGTGGCATCACAGCTCACAGCATCACAGCTCACAGCAACCTCCAACTCTTGGGCTTAAGTGATTCTCTTGCCGTAGCCTCCCAAGTAGCTGGGACTACAGGCACCCGCCATACCATACAGCAATTTTTTTTTTTTTTTTTTTGTAGAGTCACAGTCTCGCTTTATCACCCTTGGTAGAGTGCCGTGATGTCACACAGCTCACAGCAATCTCCACCTCCTGGGCTTAGGTGATTCTCTTGCCTCAGCCTCCCGAGTACCTGGGACTACAGGTGCCCACCATAATGCCTGGCTATTTTTTTTTTGGTTGCAGTTTGGCTGGAGCTGGGTTTGAACCCACCACCTCGGTATATAGGGCTGGAGCCCTACCCACTGAGCCACAGGCACCGCCCACCGCCCAGCAGTTTTTTGGTTGTTGCAGTTACCTTTGTTACTTAGCTGGCTGGGGCCCAGTTCAAACCTGCCACCCTCAGTGCATGTGGCCGGTACCATAACCACCCTGCTGACTTTAGTCTTCCCAACTCCACCCTTTGGGCACTAACAGATAATCTATGAGGATTTTTCTCTAAATCCCTTGTTTAGACTATTTTACTTAGTACTAAAACAGACCCCTGAATGTGGACATGTTTTTATGTATTTGTTGTTTTAGGAAGAATGGAGGTTGAAGGTGTGTTCTGAATTTGCATTTCAGAAACGGTTGCAGGTCATTAGTTACCTTTTGCCTAGTGTTTTATATAAAAAGAACAGAACATGGTTCTAGGTGCACTGAGTCTGTTTCCTGCAGACAGTCTTCACTCTTCCATTTTGACAGGAAAATGAATGGTCTGCCCCCTTCCCTGGGCTGGAGCAGGCAGTGGCAGTTGCAGCCTGTCTTTGCATGCTTTTGGGTGGGCCAGGTCCTCCTGCAAGGAATACGGAGGGCATGGGAGGGAGAGCTTGGCAAGGCCTGTCCCTGATGTCTTCTTCTACAGTGTCTGGTGATGCTCCCGGGTTGCTGAGAGGAGCCTGCACCTTCTCCAGAGGCCTGTCATCCCTAAACTATCACTCCCTGGGGGTTTAGCCAGGCATGCCAGATGTTTAGTTTGGCCCTGGTAACACAGCCCTGGCTTTGGTGGGGAGCTGTGATCAGCTGGCTTTGGGTTTAGGTGGTTGTTGTGGGCATTGTCGTGCTGGAAGCCTTTATCTCCTGTTTGTGGTGGCAGCTAGACAGGGCAGCCATCCAGGTGTGGACAGTAAGCCCACACATGTCCCTCCAGCTGCAGCACCCTGCCCACCAGCTGCCCTCCACCCTTCCTGCTGGTGAGGTCACAGAGCCACGGTTGTGTGTGATGCACCCAGCTGTGGGTGGCACTTAGGGGCAGGAGGGGATGGACCTCCCAGTCTTCACTGTTCGTGTTCTGAAAAGACCCACAGGCTGCGGTCTGTGCCATGAAGCTCATCTTGTATGCACAGGGTCGAGTTTGCTATGCACCCCTCAGAGGACTGTCTCACATAAAGACAGGGAAGTTTTGTACCTGTGTTGGTCTGGGCAGAAAATGACAGGACTCCTACAGCTTCTGACACCGCTTGCCTGGGTTCATCCCACATCGAGGGGCCTCGGTGGCCTTGGCTTCTCAGTAGTAGGTGTGTGGTGCTTGTCAAATAGTCAGAGACACAAAGAGGAGGCAAGAGAGTGGGCTTAGCACTGTCAGGTGAGGTGAAGGCAATGTTGATGCGTAAGATGAGAAAAGCGAGCATTACAGCAGAGCGGGGAGGAAGTGACTCTGCAGCACTGCTGAGAGTCAGTGGGTACATCTGTAGTGCTGGCCACTCCTGCTGCCATCACGTTCCCCTGGGGCCAAGAAGCCCTGAAATGTGTCCCCTGCCTGGCCAGCTGCCAGGTCTAACCCTCTGGACTTCCCTTTTGCCTGCCTTCTGGGTGTTCTGGTGCTTTGCTCCTTGCTATGGGCTGCGGCCTGCCCTTGCTATGTGGTTAGTTGAACTGGTGTGTCTTCTTCCAGCTACAAGAAGACTCAGGAGACACTCTCGCAGGCAGGACAGAAGACTTCAGCTGCCCTTTCTACTGTGGGCTCTGCCATCAGCAGGAAGCTGGGAGACATGAGGTGAGACATCCCATTCTGGGCTTACTATCCTGAAACCTTTTTGGGGAAAGTGAGACCTGACATGTCAGAGGTGCAGCAGGAAGTCTGCCTGGGGCCTGGGCCTGGACACTGGGCCTGGACCAGACTGCAGCCTCTCACCAGCTGCTTCTCTGTGTTCCTCAGGGCAAGGCATTCATTACTGCCATTGGGTACCTTGTGACTGGGAGCTGGGGGGAGGCTGCTCCTGAAGCTCCACAAGAGGCAAGGTCTCTGGCCTGATGTCAGGGCAGGAGGTCAGTCTGGACCAGGTGCTCAGCATGGTATTTCCTCAGGACTGTTTACCTGTCCCAGGTTTTGAGAGCTGCAGTTGGGCACTAGGAAGCCTTAGTTCTGAGTGTCTTTCCCAAGGGCTGGTAGCACCTACTGGCCATCAGAGGTGACTCAATGAGCAGGGTTGGGGCCAAGGGGTGGGTGGGCAGGCAGTCCCCACCCCACGCCACCCCAGCCTTGTGGGCTGTGCACATGCCTGCATCCCCTGCTCAGGGACAGCCTCCAATCACATGCCAGTGGTGGCCTGACCTTGCTGAGGGAGGGCTGCCCAGCACTGTGATGGGGAGACCACCACCAGGCTGCTGCCTGCTTCTCTCTGAAAACGCCTATCTGACCCTCGCGTGTCTTAAGGAAGTAACAGGTGTCTGCTGTGTGTAAACCGTGCCCTACTAGAAGCCCCTTTTTCTCGATGGTGTGGCTCATTCTGAGTCATTCACTCCCTTGGGAGCTCTGAGCACCTGGAGTGGAAGTAGGGCAGGTGTACAAGCCCTTGGTGCTGATGGGGGTGGCCATGTAGGACCTGATTCTGGCTGTTAAGACCTAGGTACTTCTTCCAGGCTAGAGGGCTGTGGCATGATCATAGTCCTGCAGCCTCGAGTGAGCCTCCGGCTTTGGCCTCCTACATAGCCTGGATTATGGGTGAGGTTGTATGGCTCCAGGCAGTTCTTTATGTGGCCTCTTTCTCTGGAAGCTGGCAGGATCTGTTCACTTCTGCTCCTCTGACAAGGTGTGAAGCCCCCACTCTCCTTGGAGACCTGGGACCTGCTGCTGATCCCATGTCATGCAGCCTCTGGGCATGGCCAGCAGTGAGCAGGGCTCCAGGCTTAAAGGTGCCAGGACAGCTGTGTCCACATGCCTTGCCTCTATGTGTGGTGCTCAGCATGTGGGGCCAGCAGGGCCTCTGCAGTTGGCTGGTCATGTTCAGGGTGCCCGAAGGCATGCCCTTTTGCTGGTGTGTCTTAACCTGGAACTCTGGTGTTTGCAGTGGTGGTGTGAACCCTGCTCTGTGCCCATTATCTCACCAAGTGGTCACAGCTGGTTTCTGAGGTTGAGGCCCATTAACCTGGATTAGAGCCTGAGGTTGAGAGTTTTTTGTTACATAAAAATGAAAGGTTGAGGGTTGGATGACATCCAGTTAGCCCCTCCTAATCCTTGGTTCCAGGTCCTTTTGGACAGCTATCTAGTGCCAGTGTCTACTATGGCCTGATCTGGGCCAGCCCTGGGCTTGAGGCCTTTTGTGTGCCCTGGGACTAAGGTGATGGGAAGAGGTAGCAGATTTAGATCGGGGAGGGATTCACACCAGGGTTGGGTCTCCAGCCAGCTTTGTGATCTTATACAAAGGTATCTGCCTTCTCTGGATCTCAGGCTGCCCATCTCTCTCCCAAGAGGAGCAAGTCTCACTTATTCCCATAGGGTGTAGGTACCACAGGCGGCCTGAGCAAGTATGTGTGGTTCTTCAGTAGTCTCCCATGGAGGGGTCCCCCCGCACAGTGGAGGAGTGGCCAGCTGTCCTCTATGTGCCTGCAGCCAGCCTCCAGTCCACATTTCCACGTTGGTGAGCAGAGTGTCCAGACCCTGTAGTGTTTATGCTACCTACAGCAGAGGTACTTTAGAGAACACAGGCCACTGTTGATGGGAGATGTTAGCCAAGCTGGGCTGCCATGCATGTCAAACCTTTGCACTGCTCCTAGGACGCATGTCCTAGGTGTTGGCTTAGACTGTCTCTGGAGCTTCCCCTCTCAGACCTGTACATGAGCGTGGATGCAAGGCTGCACACACAGGCGCAGAATCCAGAATGATCTGGATCCAGGCAGAACTGTGGGTTTGGAGTTGCCCATTGTGCACTCTGTAGAGTCAGGACTTAGGGGGCTAGTGACAGGGCAGCTCTGTCTCATAGCATGAGGACTGAGGAGCCATTCTAGTGTGGCTCTCTAGAGCGCAGGCAGGGAAGCCAGAGCTCCCAGCGGAGGGTTGTGGGTGGGCTGTGGCCTCTCTTACTTAACACTGCTTTTCTTCTCTCCTGCTGCCACCTTCTAGGGCTCATCCATTCTCACACTCCTTTAGGTAAGACTGAGTTGGATGCACCTTTGGAAGGCTTTTCTCTCACTTGGGGCAAGGTGGACTTCTGCAAGGCCCTGGGGAGGTGGGAGGTGGGTGAGAATGATGACTAAGCCGGCTGTGCCTCAGGACAAACCAGAGGCTGCTCTTGTGGCTTAGAAGTGACCCATGCAGAGACAGGTGCTTGCCCTCCAAGAAGTGCAGCACACCTGGGCACATGCAGGCCACCTACTTCTGGGCCAGTGAGTGACTGACCCAGCCACCTCATACAACACAGGCATCTTGGTGTCCATACTTGAGTTTATTACTAAAAAGAAGCATTTTGACTTGGACTGTGCTGACCCTCTAACTGCTATTCTTTCAAATACTAGTCCTGTTCACTCATTTTCCTGAGAAGCAGACCTGTCCCCTCAGGTTGCATTTTGTCTCATTTATTGCTTGAGAACCTTCAAGTCTTGGTCCCAGGCAGTCCTTTTCCTCATAGTCTTCCAGGCAGACCCCCCTGTGCCATGGTCATGTGCTTTTCTAGTTGGAACTTGAAGGTCTAGGGCTGAATCCAGAATGATCTGATTTCAAATATTTTGGTTATTTCTCTTTTGCTAAAAGGTCATTGAACTTGCTGTAAAGTCAAGAAAGGGCATCTGAAACTGTTGGTATCCAGTATTTTGTGAAAGCCAGGCCTAAGTGCTCCCAGTCTCCTTGGTGGGCTCCCCTCCCCAGTGCCACGTGGCTAAGAGAGAGGAACTAGGCCAAATTTCCTTCTGGACATTGTGTGGAGGAGCAGGTGGCTCTAGAGGTGCTGGGTGTGGGGCCCCACCTCTGCATCTGGTGGATGGGCTCCTGTGCAAGCCACCTGACATGCCTGCTGGTCTTTTCTTTGTGTTAACTCTTGCTTCCTTTTCTGCTCCTTCCTGTTCTCGAGCAGCAGCTACTCCATCCGCCACTCCATAAGCATGCCAGCCATGAGGTAATGTATGCCTTCCTTCTGCAGCTCCAGAGCTGGGTGTCTAGGGGGGAGGGTCGGGTGGCTCCTGGTAGTCACAAATTTCTATTCCTGTGCCCTCCAGGTCAAGGGGCCCATTCCCCTGGCAGCCCCTGTTGGCTGAAGGTCGAGGGTTGAACCCTCTTGACTGACAAGGAAGAGCTGGTAGGGATGAGGTTCCCATCCTACAGCTTCCAGAGGAGACCCTTCTGCCAAACTGGGAAGGGTCCTGAACTTGTCCTGAACTTTCCAAGCCCTGTTGCCTACAGAGTCAGGTCAGGGAGTGGGGGCTGGGCTCACCCATGGATATAGCACCTGCTGCAGCAGGGTCTCACTCAGGCATGCCCCCAAACTCAGGAGAGCCCCTGTCAGGAGACTCTGGTTGGGTGTTACTAGCATACTGGCCTCAGAGGTCTTGGAGCAGGCAGGGGAGGGACTGACGGACAGGGCTGGTCCACTTTCCCCTCTGTCTCAGCTTTGCTTCGCTGTCCCTGCAATGTCCTTGGTTTTCCTTTCATTTTTCTGAGATGTGTATGAAGAACTCTAGGACTTCTCATAACCCTAGTACAAGAGCCAAGGGTGTGCGTTTATGATGCAGCAGAAAGGTGTGGCTTCTCACTGCACAGTCAAGGGCTTTGCAGCTCTTCATGTAATATCTGGGCCTGTGCTGTGGTTGGTATACATAGCTGACTTCACTTCTGACCTGCGGAGCCTCTGGAGTGACCTTGGCTGGACCCTCCTCGAGGGGCATCTCTTGTGGTGTGTCATATTTCTGCAGTGAGCTCTCAGGGTGCTGTTAGGGATCCTTCTGGAGGGTGGCGTTAACCCTGAGGCCCTTCAGATCTTGGAGGGCAGCATGGCATTTGGTTTTTACACTAGTTATCTCCCCTCTCTCTGAAGGAACTCTGCAGCTTTCAAGTCATTCGAAGACCGAGTCGGGACCATGAAGGTAATTATACCTGGATCACCCAATTCTCCTGCTGGGGTGACCTGTCACACCAGCTTTTTACTCCTAGTGATTTAATCTTGTTGTAGACTCAACTCAGTTGAAGTACTATCTTCAGGTCCCTTGCGCCTTTTATAGTTTCCTATAGTGATAACAGTTTGCAAACCTTAGTGCAGCTTCATAGCCAGTATGCCAACACAATAGTCCAGACAGCTTTCCTCACAGCAAGATCCCACATGGCACCTTTGTAGCTACTGCCCTACCTCCAGCACCCCAAAATCTCTTCCTGTTCTATGTCTTTTTTTTTTTTTTGAGACAGAGCCTCAAGCTGTCCCCCTGGGTAGAGTGCCGTGGCATTACAGCTCACAGCAACCTCCAACTCCTGGACTCAAGCGAGTCTCCTGCCTCCGCCTCCCAAGTAGCTGGGACCACAGGCGCCCGCCACAACGCCGGGCTATTTTTTGGTTGCAGCCGTCATTGTTGTTTGGAGGGTCCGGGCTGGGGATTCGAACCCGCCACCTTAGGTGTACGTGGCTGGCGCCTTAGCCGGTTGAGCTATAGGCGCCGAGCCTCTATGTCTTTTTAAGAATGTCACATACATGGAGTCCTGTAGCAGTTACTCTTTGGGCTGTCTCTTCACACCGCACAATTCTCCTGAGATCTGTCCCAGCTATCGCCTATCAGGGATTTGTCCATTTTCATTGCTGAGTAGTGTGTGTATCACATAAACTTCAGTAGAGAAATGAGTGTGGACCTAGGACCTACCAGGGGTTGTGTGCTTGGTCTCAGGTTTTTCTTTCTTGGTCTTTTCCTTCCTGTAGTCTAAGGTTGTGGGTGACAGAGAGAACAGCAGTGACAATCTTCCCTCCCCAGCGGGGAGTGGCGACCAGACCCTGTCAGATCACGCGCCTTTCTAAGCCCACGCTGGTCTCACCCGGCCACAAAGCAAGTGCGTGCACGCTCTCCTCTTCATAGCCAAGGCTCTGCGCTGCACGATGGAGCGGCCAGCCTGGGCAAGTGGACAGAACTGGCTGGAAGACAATTGTGCCCGTTCACACAGAGATGTGGCTGCTGCGTTCGCATGATTTAGAGATCACAGTCTTGTACACAGATGTTTTACACTAAAGTTCGTAGATGAAACACATCACTGTGCCATCCTTCCTGGGCTGCAGGAGGTGGACAGGGTGGAGGATTTGGAGGGTGTTAAGCCAAAGCCCAGACTCTCTCCAGCCTCTGTTAGCTCATCAGAATGTCGAAGGGTTAAAGAGTCATTTCTACAAAGTGGCATTTTCTTACCTTCTCCTCCTCCCCTGACTCACAGAGGTAATATAGTCACCCAGAAAGCCACCCACCTGATCTGAAATGTTTGATCTCAAAATGCTGAATGAAGAAACTGTTCCTTTTCTGAGACACCCCCCTCCCCGAAAGGAAACTGATTATCACAGCAGCTACCCGGTTGTTACACTGAGCTAGCTTTGACAAGAGCAAATTCATTATTTTTTAAATGCAGTGGACTTTTCAAAATTAAAATTAGATAAATAACTTTAGCCTCATAGCTAGAGAATATTATTTCTTTTGACTCAAGCTGAAATACAGGCCTTACATTGCCTTATGCTTTCTTTGATTTTTTTTTTTTTTTTTTTTTTTTTT